CGTCGCCGCCGTCGAGCACGCGCTCGACTTCTGCCGCGACGCGCTCGGCGACGGCGCGGCGCCGCGGGGCCCCCGCGCGGCGCCGCGCGCGGTCGCGGCGCTCTTCGCGGCCGCGTCGGGCCCGGGCGGCGAGGCGCCGCGCGCCTGGCGCGCCGCCGTGAACGCGGCGGCGGGCCTCGTCGGCCCGCCGGGCCGCGACGACGACGCGCGCGCGTTCCTCGCGTGGTGCGGCCGCGCGGCGGCGGCGCCGGCCCGGGCCGCGCTCGCGGGCCTCTGGCGCGCGCGCCGGCTCCCGCCGGCCGCGCTCGGCGACGTCGCCGCCTACGCGGGCGACGGCGCGGCCGTCGCCGGCGACCTCTTCGGCCACCTCCGCGCCTGGGAGGCCGCGGCGTGGCCCCGCGACGCGCCCGCGTGCCCGATGGCCCGCGCCAAGCTCGCGTGCCTCCTCGACGCCGTCGGCGACGACCGCGCGGCCGCCTGGCGCGACGAGCTCGCCGCGCGCGACGACAGCGACGACGAGCCGCCGTAGGCCCGCGCGCGGCCCGCGGCGACGCGCCCCCCCGCGGTCGGTCCCCGCGCTTACGCGCCCCGCGCGCGGGCATTGGGCGCCGGGCGCCCTACTCGTCGTTGCCGCCGCGGGCGACCTGGCCGGCGATGCGGTCGAGGTCCTGCTGGCCGACGCGCGTGATCGCGCGGCCGCCGGTCGCCGTCTTCTCGAGGACCTTGGTCTCCTCGAGCTGCTGGAGCACGGAGCGGATGACGCCCGCCGCCGCCTTCTGGTAGCACTTGGCGCGCGAGCCCCGGCGGTACTGGCCGCCGTACCACTTGCGGAGCGCGCCGATGCCGATGCCCGGCTTGAGGTAGACCTTGCGCGCGATCGACGCGGCGCGGACGAAGTACCAGTCCTCGTTCGTCGGCGCGAGCTCCTTGTGGACGCCCGTCTTGACGAGGTCGCACCACTTGGGGATCTCGAAGCGGTCGCTGTTCTTGAGGTGCGCGGCGTACGACTCGATAACACGGCGGCGGACGTCGCGACGG